TGTCTGATCATTATGGGCTGAAAGGTTAAGTGTAAGACCATTGAGGGTAATACCTGATGGGCTAATTTTGCATCTGCCCACAGTCCTTGGGTTTTCATAAGGTGGCTGGACCCAATGACCATTTAGTGTAAATGTTAGGCCCATTGAGAGCCCATGGTGGACTCAGGGATTCACTGTCTCCTACAGTGAATTCGGCCAGGCCATGTAACAAAGGCTGGGTTGAATCCATGCGGCTAATGTGTAGATCAATGTTTGGGTCCCACGCCATACAAGGAGAGCCAACTGGGTAGCAGGTTAAGAGGTTAAATGAGCACATAAACTTAATGGGCCTAAAGTCCAATTCAAACTGGGTTAATAAGATTAATTAAATAGGGGCAGATCTAGGATTTGGATCAATAGATAAGATAAGGAGTTATCCTTATCCACTTAAAGAGTCCAGATCCAAATAAAGATTTAGATCAAAGGAACTCCTAATTTGATTAGGAAGGTTGATCTTTATCTGCAGATAAGATAAGGGATTATCCTTATCTATTAAAGAGATTCGAGATCCAAATAAAAGGTTTGGATTAGGAAACTCTTAATGGGATTAGGAGATTCTCTCTTTAAGGCTATAAATAAGAGAGCAGGGCCGACCTCCATACACACTATTCGCTGAATACAAAGAGAAGACTACATAGTTTGACTACTTTTGTCTTCTACTCTTTTCTTCCCTGCTCTTGCTGCCCCTACCCAGTTCGATCTCCACTTGTGAGAGTGATCAAGAACCGTTCTTGATATTGCTTCTTGCTAGAAGAGGTAATCTGAAATTGTGCTCACCAGCCCTCCACTACATTCTTGCTGAAGAATTTGGTTCTTACTTAAGAGTCATCCTGCTGATTCTGCTTCACCTCACATCGTGTCATCTTCAGTGGGAGCAATTTTTTGTGTTCTCCTTGGGCGTGAACACCTTTATTGGGAGTTACTGTTACTCCGTATCAGGTATATCCCTCTCCTCCCTTTTGGTTGCAGATCTGGTCCGGTTTAGTTCAAGATCGATTCTTGAAAATGCAGTTTTCTAAAATAGGCAATGCGATTCCTAAATGGGAGAGAGAAATTTTGAAATTTCGCTCAACCTTCCTGCAGGGTTTGGCCATCCATACGATGGATCTCTCATCCCTTCATCTCTCTACTCAGAGATCTATGTCTGAATTGTCTATGGTTTTACAAGTAAATGTTGGGCCGATATGGAAATAACTATTTGCACCATCAGTTCTGCACATATGAAGTCCACGTATCAGGATGATGTGGAATATCCATTAACCCAGTATTCTTTATATCCTGTAAAAGATTTTGGCATATGTTAACCATTTTTCTTATAAGGCTCAGTTTGGGAGGAGTATAAATGCAAATTTGTAGGGTGTAAAACCATGTATTTTGTAATATTTTGTATGTATTTACACTCTACAAATTTGCATATGTACTCCTTTCAAACTGAGCCTAACGATTTCTGTCCATGCAAATTTTGCATAAAGAGATTTTCAAAGTGTTAGATCATTTCTCCAGCCTCTTATTGAACTCAAATTAAAGTGGTGGTCTATTAAGAGCATGAAGAAGAATACAAAGCTATGCATTTACAATCTCATTCATAGAAAATTATAAACCTCAAATACATCCAAAGTCTCTTGACTTTTCCAACAAAATAAAGACGAAAAGTATACAAGAAAAAAAAAAAAAACCAAAATACATAATTCTTCGTATATATTCGAATCGGACACATAAGCTGAATAAGGCAGGCCAAGCCTTACACTTTAAACAAAAAACACTATAAAATTTTGTCTTCATTCAGAGCAGATTCAAAAAACTAAAAAACAAAGCAACCCCAAAAATAAAACTAAAAACTAAAAATGAGTAATATCCTTAAAAGACTATAAAAATGAAAAGCAGTTAAGTTGGGTCCAAACCTTCCAAATAAAGTTAAAAGGATGATGGTTCCTTACGAGAAAAGAATAGGCCAGAAGGTCCACCATCAGGGAGCAAAGCCAACCTCACAGCACTCTCAGCACCTTCTTCAACAGTTAAAACACCGGTATTGCCGTTGATATCCGTTTTCACAAAACCAGGACAGACACAGTTTATGCAGAAATTGGGAAGCTTCTTTGCTAGAATCCGTGTATATGCATTGAGAGCCGCCTTAGAGACTATATAGGCAGACAAAGAAGGCCAGCCTCTAGATTCCAAAGAACCTTCCCTGAAATCCTTTAGAAACTCATTTATCACTTCATCCACTTTCTCTTCCGTGATGCCATCAATATCACTCAACACCTCTTTTGCTCTTTCATGGAAGATACCCTGCAACATTGAGAAAACCACCGTCAATTATTGGGTAATGCATGCACAGCCTTCCACTCATTTAAATTCGTGTAAATGCAATAGTGCAATTAATAACGAGTGTAAATTTCTGATTTACTTTTGCTATAAATTTGACTTGTTTATCAAAAGTAAAATCATGGAGTATGAAGCAAAATGATATGATCTCCATATATATAGAATTGTGGTAGGAAAGAAGGCAAGGTGGTGCAAATTTTGCAACAGCTTTTTGAATGCAAGATTTATACTGCTAACAAGTGCAAATGAGGACACTTTTGTATGAAATAATAATGCAAATCATAGTTGCAAACAAATATAAAACTGAACCAGATCAAAATTTGCATTCGATAAGATTTGTATTGCAAGCCAAGGATTTTAAAAACCGATTTAGAATCAGAATCGTTCTGACCACCGGTTTTTGGGTCGACAATTCGATCATCTGGTTCGAACGCCCAGATCGGTAGTTCACTGATCAAATCAGCAGTATTTTACTAAGGATCGGGTTAAGGGTGAAATGGAACCGATTGCCTAGACGGTTGCCAGGCCGAACACCCCGACCATATGGGTCAACGGGAAAACACTGCTACAAACAAACATAGCCTTACTAAAAATAAAATATATACAAAGTAAATTCAGTTAATGGGGTAAAAGTAATAATTTGCTTCATTTGATAGAAGAAAAACCACCAAGACGCATGGGTCAGCCAGAATCTGAGAGTAGGAATGGCAATGGGGCGGGGATCATATTCCTCATCTCTGCCCCCGATTCTAAAATTAGTCACCATCCCCGATCCCTGACGGAGATGGTTCCCCACACGGACCCGAATCTTCAAAATTTTTTAAACAACAGTATCTTTTTTTGAAAAATGAATTTACTTATTATAAATAATGTGTTAAATATGGTTTGATATATATATATATATAATATAATAATATATATTTAATATAAATAGCATTTTATACGAGAATTCCTTTCAATCCCTGTCCCCATTCTCAGTACCCCACCAAAACAATCCCTATCCCCGACCCTATGTCGGAGATACGAAAAATTGCCATCCCTATCTGAGAGAAGTTAAGTTGTCGTTGCCTTCACATGCCACACGCAATTTCTTTCGTATAATACAAGTAAGGATTTCCAATTGTTTTGATTCGAAGGAAGATTTTATACCTGTAGTTTCCCCATGGAAGAGGAAACATTAACAATTCTTGCTGAATCAGATAGCTGAAGGAGGGGAATAAGTGCTTCACTCAGTCTTTTAGCTCCATAGTAGTTTGTTTGCAGACATTCTTCTGTCAA